CCGCAGACCACTAGCCCTCCCAGCGTCGCCTGCCCGCCCGCCTCCTGCCCCGTCATGCACCCCACCCCGGAGCAGCAGCACCGACTGACCGCCACGACTGGACGTCGCCGAGGGACAGCGCAGCGCAGTGCCTCCCAGGACGCCTCCGTGGGGGCACCGGCCCCACGCCACCACAGCACCGTTCCCAGGAGGGAGTGGGGACCCTCAGCTGCCCGCCTTTTCCTACATGCCGGGGTGCTGTCCCCTCGGGACCCCCAGGGACCCTTGCCCCAGGACACCGCCTACCCCACACAGACCCCTTCACTCCGGGGTGCTATCCCCATCCTCTGCCTCACCGTTCCCCTGAGCACTGGGGGACAGACCTCACCCCCACCCTGGGGGTGTGGCACCTCCAAACGTTCAACTTCAGGGTGATTTTTTAGCAGTAACCAGAGCTGACAATCTAACTCCCCTCCACAGCCCCATTTCGGCCTCCCCTGCCCCCCTTGTTATGGGGAGGGGACCCCGGGTGAGGGGGCCCTACTACCCCTTGATTTCTCAGGAGCGTCTGGGGGGGGCTCAGCACGCACAAACTCCTTCTCCTCCCACCACTCTTAAAATTTACTCCCTCCCCACCCAGAACCCAGATGGGGTGGAGGGGCCACCGGGGCAGGCAGGGAGGGGGCGGCAAGGGAGGAATGGGGGTTCTCTCCCTCTTCCCACACCTGATCTGCTCTCGGCTGGTCCCAGAGCGGGGTGAGGGGGCTCATGCCCCCCCCTCCCCCAGTGTGTTGGGTGGGGTGGAATTGAGGTTAGAGTGAGGGGTTGGGGTTTAGGAGGGTATGTATGTGGGGGCGGGGACAGGATTGCTTATTTGCCAAACCCTCACATGCGGCCCCCCTACCCCTCTCCTCCCTCTTCTTGGTCTCTACTCCCAGGGGGAGGGGGGAATTTACTCTAGGAAAAGCCATGTCTCTCTCCCCCAGGGTGGGGGGACCTGTGTTGAGGAGGGGTGTGTGTGTGCTGGGGGGGGGGGGTCCTCCTTCCATGACTCTGTCCCCTGGGGGAGGTAGGACAGGGCTGGGCTTCCCTCTCATCCTCCCCATGCCCTCCTTCCCCCCCTCCCCCCCAATCTCCCTCCTCCTCCCTCCCTCCCGCCAGCTCCACAATTTTTCGGTGTTTCTCTGTACATAGCTCTCTGGCGGGTTAGGGGAGGTAGGATGGATGGGGTTTGGGGTGGGTAAGCCATGGGAGGGGAATAGCCCCCCAGGCAACCCCTGTTCCCTGACTGCTGCCCCCTCCCTAGCCTTGCCTCCTCACCCCTTCTTGCGTTTGGTATTGAGACTTTCCACACTCTACCCTTCTTTCTTTTGTATGGACAGTTCCCCTCCAGTCCCATTCCCATGCACACATCCACCCAGCCGGGGCCACGTTTATACTTATATAAAAGTTGTAAATATGTGAAATTTTATCCCGGTGCCCTTTCCTCTGCTTTCCCACTTCAGGCCCCATTCCTGGACTCCCTTCCTCCTCTCCTCTCTGGCTGTTGTAATTATCTGGGGTTTGTACTGTACATATCTGGGGTGTGTGTGTGTGGGCTGGGGTCCCTCTGTACAGAGCTTCCTGGCCCCTCCCCCCAGTCCATAATTCCCTCCCCACCGACCATCCTAGGGGTAGGGAACTCTTCCTACCAGTTTTATTTTGTTTTCTCGTTCTCCCTCCCCATATGACCCCCAGCCTTCTCAATTTCTCCCCTTCCCCTCACTGGCCCCTTTTTCTCCACTCCCAGCCCCCTTTCCTTTTTTTCTGGAGTGTGTGGTGAAACAGAAAAATGTTTAATAAACAGAGATTGTTCTTTTATTGCTGTGCTGGCTTCCCTAGGCTAGGCCCTGAAGATCCACCGCACAGTGGTGGCGCCCGCTTTGTGAGAGGCCTGCAAGCCAGAGAGAAGGAGCCCATCAGCCTTTTAGAATGGCTCTCTTTTCCAGTGGAGATTTGCTCCATGCTATGATCCAGAGTATGGGGTTTACAGGGACTCGTCCAACCTCCCAATGCACTTGTCCCCTCATCCACTGTTCCACTTGATAGGAAAAAGGTGGGAGAGGTTGGGAAGAAGTGGCATTGTCTGATAGATTCCATATATATATTTATTGACCTATACATATGAAGTGATAATCAGTATCTTCAGATACATAATCTAATTTGGTTCTTTTTAAATGTCTGGTAGCACCTTACCCCCATGTACAACATGCTGCCTGGCCCTGCATGGCATTACGTGAGGAGGGGAGCAGGCAGGTTTCATTGGTCGGCCATCGTAGTCTGGTAGCTCCTCTGAAGCCTACTCAACATTGAAGCAAAATGCAAGCCGCCTCCACTGCTTAGGAAGCAGTGCACAGAGGTGCAGGGCGAGTCAAACCCAGGTTTCACACGGAAGGCGAGCATTCTACCTGCACCAGCACTGCCCACTTGTAAAGAGCATGCCCAGAAATGAGGTTTGTTCAATTGCCAGTGAAGACGCCTTGTTGTGAAATGGAGGAAATGTGATTGCCAGTTCCTGGGCCATCTTTGTTAGCCGACCTTTCAAATCTTGGCTTCTCCTGCATGGAAACCGAACACCATCGACCAGAAAGGGATAGTGAGAGGATAAATGGCACTAAACGCCTAGCTCTTAGTAGGTCCCCAACTACTCTCGCCCTACTCAGCAACGGGAGCCCTGGTGGCGCAATGATTAAAGCGCTTGGCTGCGAAGAGGTCAGTGGTCCCACCAGGCCCTCCGGCGGAGAAAGACGTGATCGTGTGTTGCTAAGGATTTACAGCCTCGGAAACCCTATGGGTAGTTCTACTCGGCCCTGCAGGGCGGATCCGAATCAATCGATTCCAAGGCAACGCTTTGGTTTCAGCACTTGTGGGGGCCGGGCGCTACATTTCATCATCAGGAAATGCAGCTTTCCGGGGCGACTCGCAATTCGCCCCGCTCCACTGCGAGCAACGTGCACCCAAGCCACTTTCCCTCCCACCGAGACCCTCCGGCTCCGACTCGCGGGGCCAACAGCCGCCCGCCAGCTCCGCCCCCTCGCCCGTGTAGCCAATCCACACAAGGCTTGTAGGCTGCCGCCTTCCGATTGGCTGCCGCGCCGGCCCCGCCCCTCGCACGCGGCGTCGGCGTCCGGCCGAAGGCGGCGGCTTCCGGCCTGGGGCGGCGGCGTCGCTGCAGATGTGCTGGGAGGTCCGCGCCGCGTGTGTACCGGCGGGGGCGTGGCGGCGCGGAAGGCACGCGGGACGGTCCCTGCGCTCGCCCGGTGGCCGTGGGCTCCTGCGAGCCGGCCTCTGGCGCCCCGTGAGGGGAACGGAGCGGCGGCGCCGCAGCGCTCCCGGGCCGGCGGGGTCGGACTCGTGGCTGAGGCGCTTCCTCCTCCTCCTCGTCGACCACAGGCCCTGCAAGTTACAACCCCGGTCAGTGTCTTCTTGCCGAGTTGTTGCATTGCTCGCGGGAGCGGGCCCGGGACCGCGCTGCCCAAACTGCCCCTGCGTGCAGGGTGCAAACGTGCAGGGTGTCTGGGGCTGCCGTAACCACCGTCTCTTTCGCCCACAGCTTTCATCCTGCGTGAGGTCTCTCCCTGGCCCCTTCCTCTTACCGAGCCCCCGGAGCTTCCCCTCTCCGTGGACGCCATGAGTAACGCCCCGACGTCTTTGCCCCCGGTGGCCCCCTCCCCGGCCTGCACCCCAGCGCCACGGACAATCCAGATTGAGTTTCCTCGGCACAGCTCGTCCGTGCTGGAAACCCTGAACCGCCACAGGTTAGAGGGCAAGTTCTGTGACGTGTCTCTCCTGGTGCAGGGTCGGGAACTGAAGGCTCACAAGGCCGTGTTGGCTGCCGCCTCGCCTTACTTCCATGACAAGCTGCTTCTGGGGGATGCGCCACGGCTCACCCTGCCGAGTGTCATTGAAGCAGATGCCTTCGAAGGGCTGCTACAGCTCATTTACTCAGGACGCCTCCGCCTGCCCCTCGATACTCTGCCAGCCCACCTCCTTGTGGCCAGTGGCCTCCAAATGTGGCACGTCGTTGATCAGTGCTCAGAAATTCTTAAAGAACTAGAAGTCTCAGGGGGTGGGATTTCAGGCGGTGGAGCAACCTCTTACCACACACTGCTTTCCACTACATCCTCCCCAGGGGGCTGGTGCGTTCGGTCTCCCCCTTTCCAGACTCCAGTACAGCCATCTCCCTCTACAGAGAGTCCTGCTGTAGGAGAGGGCGGTGACCTGGGAGAGGTATTACAGATTCAGGTAGAGGAAGACGAGGAAGAAGATGAAGAGGAGGTGGTCCAAGGGTCAGAAGCACTGTCTCAGACCTCGAAGCCTCAGAGTGTGTCAGGAAGTTTCCCCAGCCTTCCTGCACCCCACCCCTCACCCAAAGCAGCTACTCCCTGCAAACTTCCAGAGGGTGCGAGTGCTCCACCAGCGCCTCTGAGCACTCCTACAGCATTACCCTGTAAAATCTTCTACATAAAGCAGGAACCCTTGGAGCTTGAGGATGTATCAGGAGGTGGAACTCCGTCTAGAGGAACAAAGGAGGAGACCAAAGTGTTGCCTGGAGGGGACACCGAAAGGGATGGGGAGCTAGTGTTCTTGATGCCCTCAGGAACCGGAGCACCATCGGAGGGAGGAGGCCCATCCTGGAAACCAGTGGATCTTCATGGGAACGAAATCCTATCAGGAGGTGGAGGACCTGGGGGAGCAGGACAAGCTGTGCATGGACCCGTGAAACTAGGGGAAGCACCGCCCCCCGCTGATGGAAAGCGTTTTGGCTGCTTGTGCGGGAAGCGGTTTGCCGTGAAGCCCAAGCGTGACAGACACATAATGCTGACCTTTAGCCTCCGGCCCTTTGGCTGTGGCGTCTGCAACAAGCGTTTCAAGCTGAAGCACCATCTGACGGAGCACATGAAAACCCACGCTGGAGCCCTGCATGCCTGTCCCCACTGTGGTCGTCGGTTCCGAGTGCATGCCTGCTACCTTCGCCACCGGGACCTTTGTAAGGGCCAGGGCTGGGCCACTGCTCATTGGACTTACAAGTGATTGCTGAGGCCGGACACTGACTTTCAGGGCAAGAGAGCCATGCTCCTGCTGGGTGCTTTCTCCTTACTACCGCGACACTTCGGTCCTGCATCTTGTAATCATTCCAAGGGGATAGATATATTATGGGTCTGTGTGTGACTTCTTAGGTGTGGACTTTAGCTTGGTGCTTTGGAAACTCAGATTTCTCTTCTCCAGGTTTTTGCTAATTACTTCTAGACCCACTGCCATCAATGCAATTCTAGCTCATTGTGATCCTATGTGGGGTTTCTAAGACTTAAATCTTTACTGGAGCACGTAACCTAAACTCTTTTCCACAGAGCAATTAGTGGGTTTGGACCACCAACCTTGCAGTTAGTATCTAACACTTAAACCAGCAGTGGTTTACGGGTCATATTTAAAGTGATCACTTGCCCACAATGGGCTGGGCTCCACTTTCCTAGTGTGACATCCATTGGATCCGTAAGGATCCAAATCTCAGAACAGCAGATTATTTGGCAAGAGCAAAAGACCGTGATAAGATTCATTCAGTCTCTGAAGAGTTAAAGGAACCAGCCTCTCTGGGGTTACCTTTAATTCAGTGTGTGAATAATTCAATAACCAAGCGTCTGTCATCCACTGCTGGAATGATGTGAACAGAGGTCGTCTTCTGTACCTTACTTTGTTGTATCTTTCCAGAAGCTCCATAGATTGTGACTCACTAGTAGATACCTTCCCAACTTTTATGTTGTACGTTGTAGTTGAGCACTTTAACAAATCAAACATTCCATGTGTCATTCCTTGCACGCTCTCTACGAGGACATTCCCTCAGTAACCTGTGCCTCTTTTCTACCTTTCACCATCACTAATCACTCCTGTATTGATCGCAGTGACTAGCATGTGCTTGGACTCAGGAGATGCCACTGACCCAAGACTCTCAGGGTAGCACTAGTGCTCTCTGAACAAGTTGATGTGGGCAGAACTCAGGGCTGAGTTAGCACATGTTAAAGTCTAGAGGGTGACTGTATACTGGGACCAAACTCTTTCTCTCCCACCTATACACCTAGCCATGTTGAAGGGTGAGGGGTAGACAGTGAGATGTTGCAAGTTACTTAATTTCTTCAAATAAATTTTACCCTGAAATCTAAACTGACAGACTGGACTGAGTAATTTGTGTGGGAGACAGAACAGCTGCATATACTTGGGTGTGTTCATTTTGTGACTGCGTTATTTTGATTAAGGAAGCATGGGATGCTGCAGCGAACACTCCTGGACTTATTCTAGACCCTGCCAACTGAATAACCTTGGGTAAGTTACCTTTAGAATATGAACTGTGTACGTGTGTGAGTGTGCTTCCCAATTGGTTCTTTTTTGAAAGGAATTGCTTCACATAACCCTTACTGATTATGTTTCTGACTTCCTATGTATAATGCTCGATGGCTGTTTGGTCTTCTACTTCGTGCAAAGTACTGTGCTTTAAACCAGAAACTCATTTCCACTGAGTCATTTTCAATCATAGCAGCCCTGCCATAGGGCAGTATTGGTTCCAAGGCTAAAAATCTTTACGGAAGTAGACTGTAGCATCTTTGTCCTCTGGAGCTGCGAGTGGGTTGGAACCACTGAACTTGCAGTTTTCAGGGAAGTGCTGTAGCCACTGTGCCACCAGGACCCTGATTAACTGAAAGCATTCACAGTTGGTACAGTTAGTAGACAATTACAATATGGTCTGGTAAGCCCATGATACAAAGTAGTACAAGCTGCTCTATTGACACAAAGGAAACAAAGTCCTTTCATGGGTCAGTAGTGGTTTCACAAAGAAATTCCTTGAAATGTAATGTGACCATGTAGGAGGTAGCTGAACGGATGAACTCTTATTAAACACTGGTGTGAAAGTCAAAACTAGAACAAAGGGTGATACCTTCCCCAAAGTGTGTTTATCAGCAATTGTTAGGTATTAATACAGGAAAACTTCCATAGTGACAGATTGTGGCTTAATAGAATTTAAACCTCCTGACTCTTGTAAAAAGTTGCCCCTTTTAAGGTAGTTCCCTTTCCAGAGCCTTTGCTCACATCTACTTACCCACTATAGTTCCTCATGAATCCTGCTCCTAGGGTTATAACAATTTAATGCATTTAAATGCTTAGAACCAGTGCCTTGCCCATAGTAGTTCTCAATAAGTTTCCCACCTTTATTCAGATCAATTTTCTCAGGGAGGGACCTACAGTCAAAATGATCTTTCTACAACAGCACAAATTATCTCACCATTCTCTGGCTTAAAACCTTTTTTTGCATGGGGAAAACAAATTTATAAATTATCAAGGGTTCACGAGGAAGGGAGTTTGGGGGAGGGGGCAAATGAGCTGATATCAAGGGCTCAAGTAGAAAGAAAATGTTTTGAAAATGATGATGGCAGCTTGTATACAAATGTGCTTGACACAGTGGATGCATGTATGGATTGTGGTAAGAGTTGTAAGACACACCCCCCTCCCAATAAAATGATTTAAAAAACAAAACAAAAAAAACTTTTTTGGCTGCTTGCTCTTCTCATGAAGTCCACATGATCTAGGCCCAGTTACCGCAGTCTCGTCACCACTGTTTCCTGTAGGCCTCCGTGCCTGCCCTTTCTGCTTCTCATGTACCGCTACAGTTTCCCTTGTTCCTCAACAGACTCAGTGCTCCTTTCTTCAGTTATTAGCTTAAATATCACTTCCTCTAGAAATCTGTAACCACGAGGCCAGACTGGAACCTCTTCTGTGTTCCCCAGAAGTCCTCCTCCACCATATCATAAGTTGTTTGTTTTTGCCAGTTCCCTTATTTAATGAATATTTGTCAACTTATGTATGGGCACTGAGCTAGGCCCAAGGGGCATTGCCGGTCCCCGTACACATTTCAGTGCTGTAGAAGGAAGCAGGTGGCGAACAGTGAAAGAAGAACATACTGTGCGCATTGGTCTAATAGCCAAAGAAAACATCAGAGACACGCAAGTCTGGGAAGATGGCTCAAAGTACAGAGTGTTGAGCTGATACAGAGGTCTAGGTCAACCTGTGGGTCGCCACCTCTTTGGGGGTCGAATGACCCTTTCACAGGGGTCGCCTGGTTTATAACGGTAGCAAAATGACAGTGATGAAGTAGCAGTGAAAATAATTTTATGGTTGGGGGTCACCACAACCTGAGGAACCGTGTTAAAGGGTTGCGGCATTAGGAAGGTCGAGAAAAAGTGTGGTGCTCAATTTGGAGACCAGTGGGGAGAGACGAATGAAATAGGCTTAAAAAGGGCGGAGTTACATTAAGCCATTCAGATCGTTATAAGGAACTTGATTCTAAGTGCCAAAGGAAGGCAATGACGTGTTTTAGGAAGGGCAGTGGTCTTTTTTAACAGTTGGAAGAGATTTCTCTCGCATCAGGGTGAATAAGGATCATTAAGGAGCAAGAGTGGGCCTCGAGGTTGGAAAGATGCCGGAAGAAGAAGAGCCGAGAAAAAAGATCCCATTGGTTCCAGAAAGTGAAAAAAAGGAAGGCTTATCAGGCTCAGCCCCTCAGGCAAAGGAGGAGGTTTTGGAGGAGAGGAAGCAGAGGTAAGGGAAAGACTGGAATCGGTCCTGCTGGCTTTCCAGCGACAGCAGCAGGACAGGGTCCGCACCAGAGGACTCGAGAGGGAACCTCACGTCTTGGAAGTGCCCGATGGACAGTCCCTGGCCTTTGCTGTCCGCATCCAAAGGATCAAGGCGGTGAGTTTCCATCACGAAACTTCGTCTAAAGAAGATCTTCACCGGCGTCTTTGTCAAAGTGACGCCCATGACCCTGAAAATGCGGCGTATGGTGGAGCCCTGTGTGACTTGGGGCTTTCCAAACCTGAAGTCTGCCCGGGACCTCGTCCTGAAAGGCGGGCAAGCCAAGGTGAAGAGCAAGACCATCGCGCTGACCGACAGCACAGTGATGGAGGAGCACCTGGGGAAGTTTGGTGTCGTTTGCTTGGAGGACCTCATTCCTGAAATCGCCTTCCCGGGAAGTATTTCCAGGTGGTCTCGCAGTTCTTGCACCCATTCCGTCTCTCTCTGGCCCGTCATGAGTGGGCTTCCTCCAGGAGATGGGCTCACCCGGCTATCGTGGAGAACCATCGACCAACTCATCCAGCAGCTGAACTCGACGCAGTATATCTGAAAGCACGGTGCCTGGGTGGAGGCTCGCGTTTCTGTTTCTGAACGGACACCACGGGTCTTCAGAGAGATCCCTTTCCCCTGTCTTCAGCAACTGGAGGGGAGAGGCCATGGGTGGGGTGGATGGCAAGCACCTCTCCTAGCCCAAGGAGAGATCCCAGTGGTTTCTGCTTGGCCACCGCTCCTCCTGAGATCAGCGAGGACTGGCAGCTGGCCTTGAGGAGGAGGGAGTTCTGCAGGGCCTCATCTTCTGTCGGAGTTAATGCTGGTGACTACCCAAGCACGTGACCTGGCTCCCCAAGCTCCCAGTAGCAGTGGACCAAGCTCAGGGACATACTTGACCTGGGGGTGCTGAGGGCCTGGTCTTGGAAAGAACTTGAAATACAATTCCAAGTTCAAACTTAAAAAAAAAAAGGAGCAAGCGTGGAAGCAGGAAGACAGTTACACTCAGTAGTGTAGACGAGGTAGGTGAAGGGAGCAGACAGAAGTGGATTAACACTCTTCTGATTGGCACTGTAGGTTAGGTATTGAACCACAGTTCAAATGTACCAGCTAAAGATCTGCTGTATTGCTGTAAGGACTTAGAGGCTTAGAAACCTGAAAGTCACTAAGAGTCAAAGTAAGACTATGGCGGTGGGTTTGGTTTTGGCCAGGACACCCTGAATGAATGAATAAATAAATAGGGAAAGAAAGATCAAGGGAAGTGTGTCGCATTTTGTTTTAAACAATTGAGGTAATTTAATGAGTTGGGGACAGAAAACGAGCAGATCAAAGATTTGTCGTTCTCATAGTTTAAGAGGCTCCAAGTCAGGTCTGGAGGTTAGTACTGGCTCTTAGCTTCTAGCCCTAGGCAGGCTTCAGGTGGCTATGCACTCATCCCCATCTCTCTGGATCAAGAATTTTGCATGATGATGACCTGAGTAGGCAGCTAGATTTACTTGTTCGGTGAAGACTAGCCATTGGCAAACTTGCTCTGTAAAAGAGCAGCCAAACCAAGCCACACACACGAGCCCATTCAGTGACTGTAGGACAGGGTGGGACTGCCTCTTGGTTTATTTATTTTCCTGTACCATAGCTTTATTGTTGACATTCCATATTCAAATGACTCCAATCCACTTTAAAAAGAAAGGCACCTGAAAAGCTTTGCTGTGGGTCCCTTGTTAGCTACACCCCCAGGGCTGCCCGCAGCAGCTGTCTGCCCGCCTTCCCGGCTGCCCAGATGCCCCGGCTATCCCGATCCAGCCAAGCCGGTCCTCCGGCAGCTGGGCCAGAGGCTCACAAATGGGTTGGGTTGGGTGCTGTGTCCCTCGGGCCGTCTTCAACGGCCAGCCGCTCGGCGAGGAGGCCGGGGTCATACGATGCTGAAGACCACGGACAGGTACTGCTCGCAGGACACCTGGATCCAGCCATCCTGGCCCGTGTCATCGCGTCGGAATATGTCTGTCAGCCTGTGCAGGACGACGCAGCCCTGGATGAGGTCGTTGAAGGCTATCTGGCCCCGGCCCTGTCTGTCGAACTTCGGGTGAGAATGTCGTGGGACTGGTCCGAGAGGCCCTCCCCGAAACCTGAGCGTGCCTGCTTGAAGTCGTTCTTGTCGAGCATGCCCGAGTTGTCCTGGTCACAGGTGCGGAAGGCGTTCTGCTTCCAGTCCGTGATGTACTTCCAGACGCCCGTGAACTCGCGGGAGTTCACGCAGGCCTTGTTCACTTGGTCAGACATGGGTATGATTGACCTAACAGTCACGGGGTTTTAATGGTGTCCATGTCCCGTTGGAGAGTGCCTGCCGGAGCTCGTTGTCCAAGGTCACGCCGCTCCGGTCCTCATCGACCCTCTGGAAGACATTCCACTGGAAGCTCTGGTCCAGCAGCGCCCGGCCCAGCGGTAGGTGTAGGAGGCCATGGCCCAGCGGCAGGGCGGACTGGCCGGCGGGGTCCAGAGGGTGGCTTCTGAGACTTTAATTCTTTTTCTTTTTTAAAATCATCTTATTGGGGACTC